GATACAGGAGGAGAGGGGAGTTCTACCACAAAAAAGATAGCATCTCAGTCTTTAGCACTAGCTACCCTGGAACCCACCATGCCTCCTATGCTGGCCTTTAGCTCATGAGTAATGTTCCTGTTCCAGACTCCCAAGTTCTGAGCTTATAGGCATGAGCCACTCTGCCTGACTCAGCTAACACTTTAATTGATACCCACGTCAAACAGAGTAGGGCCTTCCATAAGGGATGCGTATAAACAGCAGTTTTTAGCCCGTGTGTCCATCATTTCTATCTGAACTAAGAAATTTGGGGTGGCTAAGTAATTAGAAGCAGATTAGCATGAGGTGATAAAGGCTGTATCTGGGGATCATTCTATTATGATCTAGATTTTTCAAATGCTCTCCAAAAGCCAAGGGCTAAGGTTTGGCCACCAGCCTATGAGTATGTAGAGAGATGGGTGATGCAGAGTTACAGGAAGCCAGGTAATTATGGGTAAGCACTTGAAGGGGAATCAGAACCCTAGCCCTTTATTCTTTCTCTCTGCTTCCTGGCTGACAAGCCATGAACAGCTGTGCTCCATCAGGACCCCTACCATGACGCTCTGCCTCAGAAGAGCCCTCAGAACAATGGAACCAAACGGGCCGTGGGCTGAAATTTCTGAAAAGAGAAGTCGAGGAAGACCTCTCCCCTTTTTGAATTGATCATCCTGGGCATTTCATCACAGCGATGAGAAACTGACTAAACAGATTCATTCTGGACCTTCATCATCTATTCTACCTGTGTTACCAGCCATCGTCAGCCTGGGGCTCATTCGCTGCTGGTTAAAAATGAGAATTCCCCTTCTGCCGTGGCAGCTTGGGACTGTGAAAATGACCGCCAGTCGGAGTCAGGAAGCACTGTCTCATCGCAAAGGATCGTTGGAGGGAGGCAGCCAGCTGCCTGTGGAAATATGAGAGTAGCCTCTTGCTCCCACTCAGTGAGGATGGATGTTCCGGTAAACTATGCTGTTATCCCCACACACAGGCAAAACAAATACCAAAGATGCTGCTCTGGAAGACCACACAGGAAACCAGTGTTGCCATAACCTATGCCTGCTCTGTGGTTACGAACTAGCAAGGTAAAGCCACAGTATAGCTGACATCATCGCCTTTCACTGCACCCTCTAGCAAGGCCCTGATGCTTTCCCATCGTTTCTCTTGGACTTTGAAAGAGTCACCTAAACAGCTTCTCGTCTCTTCACCTTAGAACGGCACCATGCAATTCGTGATCTGGATGTGGGAATTAGGACTCCGAGGCTAGAGACTAAGCATTTTAAAAAGTTGCTGGTAAATTTTTAGATATTTTTTCACATTTTTTTTATTTTTGGGGGTGGGGGGCATGTAGTGGTTTGAATAAGAATGTCCCCCATAGGCTCATATATTTAATGCTTAGTCACCAAGGAGTGGCACTACTTGAAAGAATGAGAAAGAATAAGAGGTGTGACATTGTTTGCAGAAGTGTGCCACTGGGAGTGGCTTTGAGGTTTCAAAAATCCATGCAAGCCCAGAATCATCTCTCTCTCTCTCTCTCTCTCCCTACAGATCAGGATGCAGAAATTTCAGCTACTTCTCCGGCACCATTTCTGCATGCCCCTATGCTCGCCGCCATGATGATAATGGGCTAACTTTTGAAACTGGAAGCAAGTCCACAGTTAAAATGTTCTCTCACATAATAATCACTTTAGCCAGCATCAGAACAGTGACTAAGACAGGGGCATATGCCTTGGTACACATGTGAAGGTCAGAAGACAACTTAAAGGAGCCAGTTTTTCTCCTTACCTCATGTGAGTGCCAGGGATCAAACTCAGGTCATCAGACTCAAGGGCAAATAGTTTACCTGCTGAGCCATTGTGCCGGTCCTCTCTAGGTAAAGTTTAATGTTCCCTGTGAGAACTAACTCCCTGGACTGACTCAGGTTTCCCAATCCCCACAAAGATGTTTTATTACTAATAGGTAAGTTTCGTGGAGCTGAAGCCAACGCATTACATTTCCTGCTCTGATCTGACCACGTCCTGATCACCTGAGATGTTCCCATTCCTTCATCAGCATGCAGGAGGACCCTACTTCCTCACTCCTCCAGATGGGACTCAGAAATTCTGCTCTGACCCCAGTCTGAGCGTTAAAGGAGGGATCACATTTCTATATATTCGTCTTTTCTTTTGCTCCAGTTTACTGTAAAGAAAAAAAAACAACCTTTGAAGCATAAGGTACTGGAAATAATGTGCATTGTACTTGCACTAAACGTGATTCCTTTCCCTTCTTTCTGCGCTGAGACTAGCCCACAAGCTAACAAGTGAGTGTCGCAACCCAGCGCAGAGATTTCCACATTACATACAAATAAAGAAATGGAGCAGAACGAGCTGTGAGATGCGAATGGACACATCTGTGTGCACATCCTACCATATGGTCTTCTGCTTCCCTGCCTTTCCTTTAGGATTGCCACCAGGAAAGGGTAGGGGTTCCTTTATAAAGATGACTATGGAAAATAAATAAAACAAGCACCTTAGTCCCGCATCCAGCACAGAGCGAGTGTTCCATAAGTCCTAGCTGCAAATAAATAGTCAAGGTCATCCTGAGTACATGCCCAGAGCTTAAAAAAATTCTTTTAATTAATTTGCTCAGAGACTGATTTTCTGCAGCTGGAAAGATGCTCAGCAGCCGAGAGTGCTGACTGTGTAATAATGGTGACTGCAGTTCGGATGCCAGCGCCCACTGGCAAAGTGGCACATCCTGCCCATGTCTAGCAGCAGCTCTGAGGAGAGCAGAGGCGAGAGGAGGTCTCAGGGAGAGACCCCATGTCAAAACAATACATAGAGTGGTAGAAAAGGACATCCAGTTGCCCTCTTCCGGCCTTCAAATGAAGGGCACATGGTGACACACACACACACACACACACACACACTCACACATGTGCGTACACTCAGAGACATGGCATAAATACACACAAATAAACAAATCTTTTTTGGAAAAAGAAAACACCCTGCTTTTCTCTACATGAAGACACCCAAAGCTCTAACAGTTAAGAGTCTTACCCAACATTTGCTGTGTCGGAGCCACACCAATGTTTTCTAAAGAATCATCCATCATTCTTTCATTATTTTACAGTATTCTTGTCCAAACCCCTGAAATGTGTGGGAATAAGAAAGCTCTAAGATTCAGAGCATGCCAGAGGTCTCAGAAGCTTGGATTATAGCTAAACAGACTTTCAGGAGTGAGTAACAGAGCCCAAGGCTTCGGTTATCAAGGTGGGGTCCTGTAAAAGGGATTCGGGTATTACATAGCCAGTCTCTTTCCTGTGTTTGTTACTTATCTTCGGTGACTTCTTCTGTTTCTCTTATATTTTGTAAACCTAAACACAACCATATTTGAGATTTTGGATGCTAAACACTAGCTATGAATCTAAAGGCATTGAAAAATATTATAATTCCTCTCCAAAGAGTGTCTCAAAGGCAAGCTATTCTCTTCACTAAGACTCTGAAACTGGAAGTTCCTTGTGCGTTTGAAAGGAGAAATAGATTTCCACAATATTTTAACTTTGAGTTCCTTTCTTACTATGTTTCGAAGGGGACAGAGTCTGTCATTTCCTACTTACTAATTTCTGAATAATTCTCTACTATTTCTATTTATAAAACTAGGAATAATAATAAAAAGCTGCCAATGATTGCTAGACACAACACATTTTTTTAAAAAACGATCTTAGAGTAAATGAGGTAACAGCGGAGCTCTTTGCTTGACATCATCCCGATTTTTTTCACAGCCACATTGGCATTCTCCCCATGAATCATGAGTGCAGCGATGACTTCATTCTCCAGGATGAAGAATAATTGATCTTAACCTTCGTATCACTTTCCTTTAACTTGAAGCACTAACTCAATTGAAGGCAGTGATAAATAAAATTTCTGTGAGAAAGGAATGACATTGGGGAAGGTTACCTCCAAAGGCCGGAAGCACACACTTTTAGGAGATTTATGAAACTCCTGTCATAGAGAGTGTCATTGAAAAAATTTTGTTCTACTAGGGGATAGTCGATTTTTTTTCTTTCCTAGTTGTTATATGAAATGCAAATTTAATAGTAAATGCAAACCCCAACAAATCGGGCGGAGCAAAGCACGTGTAAAGGTAGACTATTATTTGCATTCAAGTGATTAATGTGATTCTTTTGCTGCCACAAAGCTGAGATGCCCTCGTAACCTTCTTGGCTAAAGTTGACTGTTAATTCCAATTTCCCACAAGGGACACGCACAGCTTAAGTAATGGTTTGCTGCAGGTTTCATTTGACTCTAGCTGCCTCCTTAGTTACTAAGGCAGTTCCTCTTCCGTCCCCTTCTTTCCTTTGTTCTTCACTCCCTGGTGTTATTTACTATACGGCGCCCCAGAACATAACTGTCTTTGTAATTTGGCCTGAGAATTCTGCCATGCTTTAAAGTCAACAATGGCAGCGAGGCAAACATTCACCACAGTTTTCAAAATCCGGGTCTATAGAGCTAAGAAAGTTTGCTGGGACTCATCTTGCTTTTAATATTTCCCTTTCCCAAACTAGTGGCTAGCAAATGTTTTTCTTTACTTTTCTTATGTATACAGGGAGCATTATCAAGACTGCTAATACAGACAACAGACACCCACTACCATGCATAATTCTGTCGGGGGGGGTGAATACACAGAACACACACACACACACACACACACACACACACACACACACACACACACACGGTGGCCGGACAGACCTTTAGCCCTTATCCAGAGACAAGAGCTGAGCAGCCTTCACAGCTACTATCCCCATGACAGTCGTCACATGATGCACGCTTTGTGAACTGACACTTACTGTACAAATGGAAGCACTTGACTAGTTATGTGGCTACCACACCACAGGGCAAACCCATAACCCCTTTCCCTTGCCTCCAGGTACACAGATACTGTCCCCAAGCCAGGCTGCCTCCGTGCCAGTCCTCAGCTGCCACCTCTGCCGGGACACCACTCACCTTGACTACAATCGCAATAGCTCCAGTCCACTTTGCCCTGGGCATTCCGATAGAAGCACCAAGGTCTGCCCGCGCCGTCGGGGCTCCTACAGAAGTTGTGTGGCTGCCCTCGCAGCTCAGCCCAGCTAGCAGGGGGCGACCGCTCCAAGAAGGGCGGCACCTCTGTCCAGTGTAGACACGGGACGCCGAGGTCGGTGGTGTTGCTCCACAGCTCTCCTGCCCCGCAGCCGCGTGGGAGCCTCGGGGGCGTGTGCCGGGCGGTAAGGACCTGCGGGCGCTGGGCAGCTGGTACCCGCGGCGGGAGCGGGAAGTGCAGGGTCCTCGGTGGCCGCCGCGAGCTGGGAAGGTAGTGCGAGTGTTGGGGACGCGTTGGGGACGCTTGCGGGCGGTGCAGGGGCAAGCGCGAAGCGGGATCAACGCTGGCCACTGCGGGCAGTGCCCCTAAAATCACAGCCAGCACGCAGCGGGCGAGCGCCATGGCTGCAGCGCCGAGTGTGGTCCATGCTAGGCTCCGGGTCCCCGAGGAGGGGGCGGGGCGGGGCCGGCAGAGTCCTAGAGCCCCCTCCCACGCTCGCGCCGCCGCCCTGCTGTCCCGGCCCCGGGGGCGGCAAGAGGATCAGACGGAACCCTGGAGCAAAGGCTGGAGCGCCAGGGGCGACTCTGTCGCTGGCTAGAGCGCGCTGCTGCCCGGAACCCGACCTCCACCCCGCCCTCGGTTGTCAGCCCCAGGCTCAGAGGAGGGCAAGGAACTCCGCGGAGCTCCTGGTGCCAACGCGGGGGACGGTCTAGGCTGCCGGTGCCAGGAGGCACGCACCACAGCCCTGTCTGGCGGCTCCCGCCTGGCATCCGTCCCTCCCACTCTCGGTCGTCCTGTCTGTGTTTTGCAATCTCTGAAATGTGGATGGAATTAGATGCACCTTTCAGCCTTGGCAACTAACAGGATAGAAGTTATCAAAGCTCCCAAGGAGTGATAAAAACCAATTTGCTGAACTGAGTTCTTTAATGGCGATGGCACGACTCACTGGGCTTGAGTTTCCAAGCTTAGCACTGTTCCCCCAATGAACATTAGCGGAAATTAAAAGCCCTGGCAAACCCAGCAAAAGAGCTTGAGCCCTTCTCCTTCCTGCCTCCCACTTTCCTTCAGAAACCCTGGACACCGGTTGTTCAGTTTTTATAGGGAGTCATCCTGATCTCCATCCTCCACAGAAGCTGCAGCCCTGTGCCACCTGCCTCCTGCCCGCAGGGCAGGGACTTAAACTAAGCCTCTTGATTTGCTGCCTCAGGCAAGAGCTGAATTTCTTCAACCTAGCATCAAAGTAGACTCTGTCTGTGGGCGATGTTACAGGTTTTTCGTGTGGTTCAGTACACTCCATCTGATATTCCCCCTGTGCCACTCCCAAGTCTGTTGGTTTAGGACTTTAAGCCTTAGCTGGGGCTGGACTTCACCTGGCTCTTGACTAGGCCACTAAGTTAAATAAGAAATCGGAAGCAGGGGATGGAGATGACAAGCTTGCTTTCTGGAACAATTATGTTTCTGCGACGAAGGAATTCTGTTCCGCAATATGTCACAATCTGAAGAAAAGTTAAACAAAATTTAAATGCCTATTGTTAAACCCTAGGTCACTGGCTGGGATCCCTGCACCGAGCTTTGGAATCCAGTTTCATTTAATATTTGGAGAGTCATTTTACGGTGTAAAATAAATATTAAGAAGCCAGAGTGAATGCATGTGTGTCAAATCTTTATTCAAGATTTTTTTCACTAATATTTTTCTGGCTCTGAAAGCATAGTTAAGATTGTATTTATTCGGTTTTGTTGTTTTGTTTTGTTTTAGTTTCTTTTTTTTTTTTTTTTTTTTTTTTTTTTTTTTTTTTTTTTTTNTTGGTTTTTCGAGACAGGGTTTCTCTGTGGCTTTGGAGCCTGTCCTGGAACTAGCTCTTGTAGACCAGGCTGGCCTCGAACTCACAAAGATCCGCCTGCCTCTGCCTCCCGAGTGCTGGGATTAAAGGCGTGTACCACCACCCGGCTGTTTTAGTTTCTTGAGACAGGGTTTCTCTGTGTAATCGCCCTGGCTGTCCTGGAAAAACACTCTGTAGACCAAGCTGGCCTCGAACCTTCAGAGATATGCCTGCCTCTGCCTCTACCTCTGCCTCTGGGATGAAATGCATATGCCACCACCATCTGGTAAGACTGTACTTGTGTACAGTAAGATAATACATATCTGAACTTGGTCACTTCAGTTATTGTAGTAGGAGCTGACAGAGCCAGTCCGTCACAGACCTTTCATGGTAGAAAACAGTTCGAATCCAGGTCAGCCCTCTTCTTTTCCAGCTGTCTCTTCCAGTTTGAGCAATTTGTGATGTCCCGGGGAGAAGCTGTCTGGGCCTCCAGACTGCCTTCCTTGGGCCCCAGTCTCCTCTCTTCCCTCCATGACTTCTACAACCACGGATGCCATGCTTCCTAAAAACAGCACAATAAATCGACCACCACACATCTCTTGTGTGCCTTGCCGACAGGAAAACAATGGGAAAAAAAGTGTGGCGATGACTCCGTGGGGTGGGGAGGAGGCCGGCACACAGGAGAATCCCTGGAAGTTCCTGGGCCAGCAGCAAGGAACTGGGGTTGGGCTGGGGGGGGGGGCAAGAGAGCACTTCTCAAACAAAGTGGAAGGGAGGTCTGAGGTTGTCTGCTCACCTCCAAACACAAGCTATGACACACACACATGCATGCACAGCTGCGCGCACGCACACACACACACACTCGTCCTGCGTGTAGAGATAACGAGTTAAGAAGGTTGTTGGAAATCAGCTCCAGAGCACAGAGCCTTGGGCAGTCAGGCCTGTCTTCCAGCTTCCTGTCCCAAAGAGGAATTAACGTTTTTCCTTACATTTAACTTTATAAAATCGACGCACATAGAGCAGAGTTACCCATAGGAAAATCCATACCACATCTGGATTTCATAGCTTCGGTTTTAAAACCTACCTTTCTTAGAAAATAAAGTGGCATTTGTGTAATTGGAGCGTGGATTGAGGGCCTCAATTTGGGTTTTGCCTTCTGTTTCACAGGCAAAGTATGATTTCCCGGTCTGTTCTTTGTGTAGTACGCTACCCCTGCTAGCTTTTGTCGTCCTTGTTGCCTCGGACATGCATATAACTGGGATTTCCGCGTCCCAAACTCATTCCTGAAATGCATCCGGATCCTCCATTTCTGGCAGGCCAGACCCTAACTGCATCTTCCACAGATCCCTGACACCCTCTGTCTCAGATATTAAAGCTAGAGAGAAGAGCGGATAGCAACCGTCAGGACTTCTTAGTTGTCTGCCTTCTGTTCTTCTCAGCAGCAAAGGAACCAGAGCACACATGTCCTCCCCCAGGTATGCTCCACCGCCACGCTGGAAAGCCCACAGCAGGCCCCCTAATTCCTCCTTTGTCACCTCCAGTCCCATCAAGGAAACACATTGATTTGTGGCCAAAGAATTCAATTGCTTCATTTCAAAGGCTGCTGTGGCTGAGAAGCAGAATCCTCATGAGAACCCCAGTGAACTGGAGAAAGGGATCTCTCTGCTCGAGCGGAGCGGTTGGCAGTGGAGAGGGCCATTGGGCACACCTACATCCACATCTCTTCAGGTTCCCTGATAATTTTCTGCAAAATATTTGGCTTCGTGGTGACTTGTGGAATCATTTTACATCACGTTTTGCTAAATGGGTTTATATCATTTGATTTGGAAACACGACCAATAAGTATATTATTTTTACAGTTACCAACATAAATGTATAAAATAACTCCTGGGTAAGGGCCATTTACGACTCAACTAGTGCTTGTATTTTAAAAAGCGTACAGCTGTCAAACAGATGGTGTTAAGACGCTGTTTACAATCCCATGTGCAAAAAGCGTATTAGAAAAACAGTGGGTATTACTCACTCATATTAAAAAAAAATCAATATCAGGGCCTGCCTTGGGGTTCTGGGAGATCTGAAGCTAAAAGGCATTGTCAGTGAAAATACAGTTGCATGGGTCTATAATGTTTAACTAAAAACTTAAGTAGGAATAATAAAGAAATGATGCGGAGTGTAAGTGAGGAATCACCGAATGATTGGCAGTATGGTTGGGGCAGAAGCCTGTTGTCTGGACGAGTCTGGCGATGGAGGTCTGTGCCTCTTTCCTGTATCAGTTTCTGTCTTCTTTGCTCGCTAAGCAATGATGGCACAGAAGATCAAAGACAGGCACGGCAGTACAGATGGCCTGCTGCTTTAAACAGCGTGCTCAAGAGGAAGGAGAAGGCTCTGCCTGCTTCGCTGGTTCACGATGCACGCACGGGTCTCTCGATCTCATCTTCGTGTTAAGGTTGAGTTTTATGACGCAGAACGAGATGGTTTTTATGTTTTAGTTTCCATTGAACATTTATTGGAATTTCATCCTCTACGGATGTTGATTCTACAAGCGTGCATTTAGAGCTACCCAAATTGTATATACATTACTTTTGCCATGGACTTAATCCTGTGCTGGATCTGACTGAAGTCATTAATATTGGAACACGGGACACTTCACCTCATTTCTTTAATCCAAAAGTTCCTTGTCTATAGAAAGGAGACGGCAGGGGCATAAATTAGCCCTGGGAAAAGTGTTCAGATAATTAATCTCCCTTCCTTTCAACACTTTCATCCATGCAGTCCAATCAAACACTCAGGGTTCCACATAAAATGTTTCACCTGAGGAATTTGCCTAAGGCCAATGAGCAGTTTCAAATCATATTGCCGCTACCCCCCCCCCCCCGCGCGCCCTCACCCCAAACACATACTACGTGCCTTCCAGTCGCAAGTAAACTGAACACTCCAGGAAAAGCAGCAGCCAAATCGCTGGCCGGTGGGCTGGGAATTACAGGAACTCAGCGCTGAAAGGGGCGTAGAGTACCAACTTCCGGTCACAGGAGCAATCCTTTCCAGAACTCCAGACAGATGGACTGCCACCTCTTTCTTGAAAGCTGACCGTGGGGAAGTGCCTACTTGGAAGCCAGCTCACTCCCTCTCCAGAAAAGTGTTGACTTCTGCAGAACCAGAAGTGGCCTTCAGGTTGAAGCCAATGTTACCTCACTGGGATTCTGCTTACACTCTCCTGTGGGTCCGGAGATGCTGCGTGGTACAGGGCTCAGCCTACATGGACCTGTGTGAACTAAGGCTCAAGTCCCTGTTGTCTCCCATACCCAAGGACCAATTTCAGGAAGACGCAGGAACATTAGCTGTTTCACACACTTAGGTCCCAGGAGAGGATTTACTGTGTGAGGTATAGATAAGTCCGTATGATTTAGTGTGTCTGTTTCTTTCTGTTCATCTTCGAAATCTTCAGAGTCATAAATAACAGCTGAGATTAGAACTGGGTTGAAATGAAGGGAAGAAAGAGAAGCTATGTTAGGCATTGTTTGGCCTGCTTGTTTTCCTGAAATAGGAGTCTGCTTCAGGGATCCCCAGGTGGTTGTAAGTATTCACATTTGCCTGGGAACCAGTGAGGTGGAGATGGGGAGTGGAAATTAGAATTCAGAGCCCTGGCTTCCTGATCATGCATCCGTCAACCTCTCCAGACATAGCTGGGTTGGGAAGTGGCAAGAACAGCTCCCTGCTACATGTTCATAAGGATAAGTTCTATCGTTAGAACCAGGTACACGGCAGATGGCTACTGCTGAGGTACTTGAAGGAACTCCTGCTTTCTTAGGGTAGGACGCCATCCTCCGTCTACCGTTCTTGTCTTCATACCGTGTGCTAGACTCCCACCGCTG